GTTGATGAAATGTAAGGAAAATGAAAATATGATTATGTTAGGAGATTTTAATGGAAGGGTTGGGGTGAAGAGGTCTGGTTATGAAAGGATATTAGGAACGTTTGGCGATGAAAGAATAAATGAGAATGGTGAAGACCTCCTCACCGTATGTGTGGAAAAGAATCTTTTTGTGGCGAACACTTTCTTTCACCATAAGAGGATTCACATGTATACATGGGAAAGAGGGGATGATAGAAGCATGATAGATTTTATAATTGTGGATGAAAGAATGAGGAGCGCAGTGGTAGATACAAGGGTTTACCGGGGGTCCAACGTAGGGACGGATCATTACTTGGTCTTATGCCGAATTAATGGTCTATTCAGACGTTGGCGGCATCGGACATCGGTGTCTACCACTGCGTTACAGCGTATAAGAATAGAGAGGTTACAAGATGAAGGTGTGAAAGAGAAGTATAAATGCAGATTGAGGGAAAATATAAGTGGGTTGAATGAATTATGTATGAATGATTTAGAATTGAAGAATGTATGGAATAATATTAAGAAAGTTTTGGTGGATGCAGCCACCGAAGTATGCGGTGTAAGTAAGAGAACGAATGAAAGGAAAAGTAATACGTTATGGTGGGATGATGAGGTACGGATGGAAGTTGAAGCAAAGAAGAGAGCATGGCTAGATTTACTAGCAACTAAAGCTGGTAATTCTGGCGGTATGAATGATGAGATTGAAAGAAAAAAGGCAGACTTTAGACGTATAAATAAGAGAGTAAAAGAAGTTGTTGAAAGGAAAAAGCAAGAAAGGATAGATAAGAATGATAGAAGGATATCTGATAACTTCCAGGCAAATATTAAAATGTTCTGGAAGCTCGTAAGAACTGCCAGGGGAAATTCAAAACAGCCTAGAATAAATGCTATACGAGACGAGAATGGCTGCATGCTGAATGATGAAGTTTCGAATTTAAAGAGATGGAAGGAATACTTTGAAAGCGTGTTTAAGAGTGAAGAGTCGTCTGGAATAAGTGAAATAGAAATTCCGGAAGAAGTGGAGAGAGGTAGGGAGATAAGTGTAGATGAAATAATGAAAGCAATGAAAAGCATGAAATCAGGTAAGGCAGCCGGATATGATAGAGTATCACTCGAAATGCTGAGGGCTGGTGAGGGTGTGGTTACAGGCCTGCTGCACACCTTGTTTAATTTATGTTGGGAACTGAAACGGGTACCGGAAGACTGGTGCAAAGCCGTTATAGTCCCAATATATAAGGGAAAGGGGTCGCAGCAGGACTGTAAAAACTACCGTGGTATCAGCTTGCTTAGCATTGTGGGTAAACTGTATGCTAAGGTGTTAATTGAAAGAGTTATGGAAGAAACTGATAGAAAAATTTGGGATGTGCAAGCTGGATTTAGAAAGGGGATGGGGTGTACGGATCAAGTCTTCCATGCGCATGATAGCGGAGAAGTTTTTGGCTAAAAACCAGAAAGGTTTTTGTGCGTTCATGGACTTGGAAAAGGCTTATGACAGAGTGGACAGGAATGTGTTTGGCAAACACTGAACTCATTTGGGTTGAGCGCTGGCTTGATACAGGCATTAAGATCTCTTTATAGGGACTCTAGTGCTTGTGTCAGGATCAACGGGGTCTACTCGGACTGGTTTGGCATTCATAAAGGTGTCAGACAGGGATGTGTGGCTTCCCCGTGGCTGTTTAACTTATTTATGGACAGTTGTTTGCAAACTTTGAAAGTTGAAGAATGTGGGTTGAGAATGGGTGAGTCAACCGTCAAATGCCTTTTATACGCCGATGATCAAGTCATATTTGCATCGTCGGCGGCCGAGTTGCAAATGATGGTTACTTTAATGAATTGGTCATTGAAAGAAAGGGGTATGAAAGTGAACGCAAGTAAGACGAAAGTGATGGTTTTTGAAAGAGAAGAAAGTAAAACTTTATGTGAAATAAGAATAGAAGGGGAGTTGATTGAGCAAGTTGATGAGTTTGTATATTTGGGATGTTTATTTAGCAGGGATGGTAGATATGATAAGGATATAGAACGACGAGTGAACGCAGGAAATAGAGTGAATGGGGCTCTACACGCTATTATGAGGAGTCAGAATGTGTCAACTAAGGCACGTATGGCAATTCATAATGCTGTGTTAGTCCCTACTTTAATGTATGGTAGTGAAAGTTGGGTCTGGCAGAAGAAGCATGAGAGTAGAATAAATGCTGTAGAAATGCGTTCCTTAAGGAGTATGCTAGGGCTAAATCTGAATGACAGGGTGAGAAATAGTCTGATAAGAGAAAAGTGTGGTTTGCAAGATGACGTTGTGACAAGGATTAAGAAAGGAATGCTTCGGTGGTTTGGTCATGTAGAAAGAATGAACGAGGAAAGAGTGACAAAGCAAATTTATGTTGCGGAAGTGAACGGCAGGGTCGGGAAGGGACGCCCTAGACGAAGGTTTATCGACCAAATCGGCGATACATTAAAAATGGGCCAGATTAGGAGTACCCTTAACCGACGAGCGTGTATGCGTAGATATATGGATGTAAAAGAGGCGAGAGAGGTGTGTCAGGATCGCGCCAAATGGAAGTCCGTAGTCTCTGCCTACCCCTCTGGGTGACAGGCGTGAGTGTTTATGTTATGTTAATATGATGAATCTGCCAATTTATTAGTTAAGTATTCCCGAACCTTCATCTTGAACGCGTAACGATTGCTAGCCGTCCTGATTTCGAGAGGTAGTGCGTTCCAAAGGAGAATAGATTGAATGTGGAAAGAAGAATGAACAAGTCCAGAGCTATGGGAGGGACATAGGAGAAGAAGGTTGTTCGTAGAGCGGAGGTTTCTCTCATGACTAGCGCTAAGCAACTGAAAGTATGGAGATAAGTAGGAACAGGAAGTTGGAGACATCAGGATAGAATAAAGGGTAGTGAGTGCACGCAAACTACGGCGTTGACGAATAGGTAACCATTTTAATTGAGATCGATACGTGGATACATGGTCATACTTTCGAAGATTGAAAATGAATCGAATGCAGTTATTCAGAAGACGGTCATATTTATTGAGAAGATCTGCATTCAGGTCGAAATAACACACATCACCATAGTCGATTAGGGGAAAAATTAAGCTTTGCACAAGCATTGCTTTGATTGCAGATGGCAGAAAATTTTTTAGGCGATAGAGAGAACGCAGGGTACCGGTAACTTTCTGGCTAACGGTCGTTGCTTGGTCTTTCCAACTCAAAGTAGAATCAATTAATAAACCTAGATCCTTCACAGTAGAACACAGTTGGATCTCAGTACTATTAAAAAAGATAGGAGGTAAAGCTACCGTTTTCAATCTATGAATCATCCGACGGCTACCAATTATTATGGCCTGACACTTCGAAGGGTTGACCATTAGGCCAAACCTGTCAGACCAGTTCTTAATATACTCAAGGTCCCTGTTAATTATGTCCACCGCTGTAGAAATATTGTCAATACTCGCTTGTGTGTACAGTTGCAAGTCATCGGCATACAGATGATACGCAGACTGAAGGTCTTGGGTAATGAGATTAATAAATATAGAAAACAACAAAGGAGATAATATGTATTAGTAGTTTAGTTGTAGCACGAATGTGTTGGCTCAACCGGGGAAGGACCACGCACTCACGGAATACCAGCGTAAAATAGCAGCTTAACGCTGCTGTGTTTTGTATAGTGAGTGTATAGAAACGGAGTCTCTTTTTACTGGAAACGAGGCACTCTATCTTAGTCTTCACGCATCTACATTTTGATTCGTAATCGAGGATAGATGTAGATGTATATGGGCAGCAACCACTTACCATTAAGTGGACTGTGTTCGTTTGTCACCCTTATCCTATAATAAAAAAAGTTTATTAAACGCGATAAAATTCGTAAAAACTGATTTCAATGTGCTGTGTTAAATATAAGTCAGTTCGTCGTTGACGCATTACTATACTCAAAATTTCGTCTTTACTTTCATGGCTGAGGTGTCCGAGTGGTTAAGGAGTTGGACTTGAAATCCAATGGGTTATACCCGCGCAGGTTCGAATCCTGTCCTCAGCGTGAAAGTTTTTTTATTGTTTTTTTAATGCTTATTTTTAGTTATACTTTAAACATTTCTTTTTATCATTCTCTGAAATAACGAAACAAAAAACTTGAATATAGCTAAAATATGAACTTCTCTTGGGTTTGCATGTTATCAAAGGTTTTCAAATTAAGTGGAATAATATTGTTCATTATCATATGTATAAGTAATGGATAGATTTACAACTAATAATATATTCGGCCACACACCGAATACCGAATATTCTGCGGGATACCTGGCCGAATAGCCAAATATTAGGCAAAAGTATTCGGCCGGGAAGGAAGTAGTGTTTTATTTAGACCGTCTTTTCTCTGAAGCTGGGATTGTCTACGAGAAGAACAGGAGTAAGCTACTGCAGGAAAATTAGTCTTTCTGCACCATAAAATTCCACTTCTAAATTCATTACATAGACATTTGAGTGTCGGCTCCGTGGCGCAGTGGCTTAGAAATGAGTTGTTGCGCTGGGGGCCGCGGATTCGAATCCCGCACGGAACAAGTATTTGCATGGCCTACAAATAATAGTTCCTAGTCTGGATGTTTGTCCTCGTGCAATCTATGTTTGTAAACTGCCTCCACGATACAGGAGAAAATCCTAGTGTGGTGGTAACGTTTTTTATTAACAAAAAAAATTATTTGATATTTGTTCGTTAATTTTTATAATTATCAAGCGTATTATGTACCTATGACTACTTCAATTATTACTTCAAGAAAAATGCATTGTTACAAAATAAATCAATATTTTAGTTTTAGCTATTATCTGACAACAACAAAACATTTTTCTCAAGTATTCGGTATTCGACCGTATAGGATAAAAGTAGCCGAATAGGCCGAATACCGAATAATAACTGAATATCCGTTGCAAGACTAATAATAAGTATTAGCTTACGTGTCCTAGCGTTTATAATATTGTTTGTAGCGTATATACTTACGTATTTGCCATTCTTAGTTCATTGATGTACTCAAAGGAAGGTGTTAGTTTACCGTTACTTGTTATTATGGCCTGTAATATTAAAACAAAGTATTTAGTACTTCGAACTCAAAAATGGAATACTTATTTTTTGAATTTACCTCTGTCTTTTATACGTGATAGAGTCATGCTGCAGCTATATTAATAGTATAGTTGTAGCACGAATAGGTCGGCTCGACCGGGGAAGGACCACGCTCTCACAGAATACCAGCGTAAAATAGCAGCTCAATACTGCTGTGTTTCGTATGGTCAGTGTAGAAAACCGGAGACCCTTTTTACTGGAAAAGAGGCATTCTGTCTTAGTCCTCACGGGTGACAACGCATCTGCATTTTAATTCGCAAACGAAGATAGATGTAGATGTCTATGGGCCACAGCAACCACTTACCATCAGGTGGACTGTGTGCTCGTTTGTCACCCTTATTCTATAAAAAAAACCTCTGTGTCAGGCTGTCCAACTGTCAAAATACACCTAGAAGATTTAGCATAGGATTATTTCAACATAGTTATTGTTGCAATTACGTACAAAACATTTCAACAACCGACTTCAAAAAGTAGGAGGTACTCAATTCGACTGTATTGTTTTATGTGTATTCTCATTACTTTTTTCTAGGTGAACCAGTTTTTACTATTCTTTTTTTATTTTAAAGCTGGTGCTTCTCATGTGGTCCCATATAAATTTGACCAATATCTGACCAGTAGTTTTTGAGTTATCTTTAATAATTTATATTGAAGTAGGTTGAACAAAATTTTTAATTCAACCAAGTTGACGTCGTTTAGAAGGTTTATTTGAAAAAGAAACTTACACCTTTAACGACCGGTGAAAAATCGTGCTCTTCTAAAGGCTTTGTGGCATCTGACTTCATGATGTCGTCTGCATAGGGAAACAGCAAATCTCCAAAGAAGTCCGTAGATTCTCTTGGTAGCTGTGTCGGCATGTTATCTATGGAGCACACCAGCACGCCAGGACCTTTGAAGCTGTGATTATAAAGAAATAGCGAAACCGAATTCAGTAAGCGAACATAAATATAAGACTCTGTCTCAAGTCTGTAGGCCTATACCTGGCTAACCATCATAGAGCTGCAGCGTGGCTGCAGTTCTATGATGTAGCACGAATGGGTCGGCTCGACCGGGCTAGGACCACACTCTCCCAGAATACCAGCGTAAAACAGCACCTTAATGCTACTATCTTCCGTATAGTGAGTGTATAGAGCCGGAGACCCTTTTACTGGAAACGAGAGGTGACAACGCTTCTGCATTTTTATTCTTAATTGAGAATAAATGTAGACGTCTATGGGCCACAAGATGGGAAGTATAAACGTCCACAAGGTCTTTAATGTGGAGATAGAGATGATTTTAATTTAAACTTTAAAGTAATGGAGATAACGCAGCAAATGCGATATTGATAATTATTAAATATCTTTTACAATTATTTTTAAATAATCATACAATATTTACCTTTTGTGATACACCACCGAGAAAGATTACCGCGTTGTATTTTATAATCTCTTTCGAACAAAAACAAATTTGAAAGTTAAAACACAAAAAACGCTTACTGAAAATACATAGGTACCTAGTAAATAATAATTTTACCTATAAAATTAAAATTAATCCTCTAGTGAAATGCGTAATGTCTTCATGTTAGATACTTACCTACTATATATCTTTTTATTTAATTTACTAATTATTTAATTATTTGTTTATTAAATATAATAAATACGTAGTAAATTGAATTCGAATATACTTAACGTTATACAGCCTAATATGAATTCTATCACTTGAGAAGGATTACGGTTAAAGCAACCATATTAATTCAACTTTATAATAAATATAAAAATTGGGGGTGACGAATGTATATATTATTGTCTATGTAATGTATATATTTTCAGAATGCACTCCTTAAGAACTATCATTTGATACCAAGCACGATATTTGAATCTCCATTTTTTTTGGGTTACACTAAGGCTTGCCAACTCCAAAAAAGACATTTCCGGGATTACCCAGCTCTACATCCGGGACTTGGGTATACGTGGGACACAACATACCACATACAAATTGGTTAGAAAAAAAAAACACATTGGTTATAAAATTCACTACACTTTTGATCAAAATTAGTGTTAATTTGTAGTTTAGACTTGATGTGATCAACAAACAGCTTATTTCTGCTGTCTGTCCATGCATTTCCACAGAGAGAAATCACTCTCTCTGCTGATGCATTTGAAAGTGGTATCGAAGCTACGGCTAAGGTATAGTTGGTACGAGATAGATACTAATATCATATAATCACTGATTTCCGGGACAAAAGACGTCCCGCAAGGGGTTACTAAGGGACGGTCCAAAACTGACCTAGAATCGGGACGTCCCGGAAAATCCGGGACGGTTGGCAAGCCTAGTTACACTGTCTACAATAACCTAAAATAGATTTTGGGTTTTATGTGAAGTCATATAGCGTTTAGCCTAAAATATATATACACATATATATATATATATATATATATATATATATATATATATATATACTAGCTGCCCAAGCAGACGTTGTTCTGCCCTTTTCGAACAACCCTTCATATAAAAAATCCATAAATTCGTAATAAAAAAATATTGAGTGGCACTTATCAGGATAAAAACTATCCTATCTCTCAAGTTGGACGAAACTGCATGGACTGTGCAAAATATCATTGAAATCAGTTCAGTAGCTTAGGAGTTCATCGCGGACAAACAACGTGACACGTAAGTTTTATATATAAAGATATACTTATATATATATATATAGTTTCGGCTATCTGAGTTAACAAATTCATACACTCACACATGCATACATATGTACATACATAGCGTGCTAAAATCATAACCATCCTTTTAGCTTTACCGTAGTCGCCTAAAAATGGAACATACAACTTACATTATCTTTATATATATTATTTTATTTTAAAACAAAGAAAAACAAAACAAAACAAATAATTCTTCTGTCCGTGCTTATGTACATGAACTCCTCCTAAACAACTGGACCAATTTTGATGAAATTTTGTGTGTGTGATTAAGCTGATTCCAGATTGGTTTAGATTCAAAATGAGGCGCGGTAGGTGGCGCTGTTTCCGAGATCCAGAAATCACCCGTGCGAAGTCGGGACGCATCGCTAGTTTATTTACAAGATAAGACAAGAAAATATTAGCAACCTTTTCGTATCCTTGTTTCTGTCGGCGTCATAAAGACAGAACGGCGTATCGATGGTCGTGCATTCGTTCATGAACTCGATCGAACCCCCAGGGTCTGCAGATATGTCGCAGATAGCCAGCATTCTGTAATTAATGTAAATACATTATTACTATCGGCATTACTTCCTTGAAAACTTATCAGCTGTATTCTATCTCTGTATTGTGGATGAATATCTTGTAACTATTAATTTGATCGATATTAATTTATAAAATGTACAGAACGACTTCAAAACTAATAAAAACTCCATATCTATACATATAATAAAAATGTAAATAGCAGATGTCTGTACATTTTATATTTTTGTAATAAGAGTGATTGAGAGGTACTAAAAATAAGTAATTAAATACATTTCTACCATTTTTAGATTTTTCTGTCTGTCTGTCTGTCTGTCTGTCTGTCTGTTTGTTTGTTAACGTATCACGTATAAAGTACTAATTTATATCATAAGAATAGTTAAGAAACTTATTAAGTGTATATTCAGGTTACATTTAGTCTTTATTTCATTAAAATTGATTAATTCCATCAAAAGTTATGACAAATATTCTGAAGTATGGGTACTAAGTATAGGTACGAATTTGTTCAATAGTGGCGTTGGATGAGTCATCAAGTACATTTTAAAATTAATATCATATTATAAATCATAATTAAATGATGTAAAATAATGTTCTATAATGATATAATTATATCTAAAACGCAGTAAACAAAAGTATTACATAAAAAACGTAATAAATATATACAAAATATATTAACCTTATTATCTAAACTAAAGTACAATAGTTAACCAATTTCATCGATAGATGGTGGTGTGGCATAAATGTGATACAAAAAGGCAGGTTAAAATTTATTCCTGTAGTTGAGTTTCATATTTGCTTCTACCCTTTATATTAATGACACGCTGCCCTACTGCATGTTGACAATCTCATTTATTTTTTATTTTTTTACCGCCGAGTACTCTATGTGGTAAATCAAATTTTAAGAGCTATTAACAATTTCGTTTTTCGGCGAGGATCAAACTTTCTTTTTTGCTATCTCTCTTAAATCTATACATATAATAAAAATGGTAATAACATGTTGTCTGTTTCTGAATATTGTATAGTATATTAATTTGCGACTAAAATCATTATGGGGACTGTAAATCATTAAATAAGTACATTTTTATAACTTTTAGAATTGTACTATCTGACGGTCTGTCTGTTTGTTTATGGACGCATGACGTTTTGAGTAAATATCTTTTTTTTTTCAATGAAATCCTTAAGAAAATCATAAAGCGTATTATCAAGTTCATTTAATCTTTGTTTTATTGAAATTGATTAATTCTATCGAAAGTTATGATTATTATTTTGAAATGTAGGTTCGAATTTGTTTAATGGCGCCACAAAATCCCAGAAATAGTAATAAAAAGATTCGTGTGTAAAAAAAAACGTTCTATTATAATATATTTCGTATCGTTCTATTATAGTACTTAAAACACAGTAAAAATATGTTTTCCTTAAATTAAAAAAGGATGTTTTCTCACAAAGAACGTAATAGATGGCGTTGTACAAATTACAACCTTTTCTGAATTGCGGTGTTAAGATTTTTCGCAGGTGAATCGTATTGAGACTCACTGTAATAATTTACGTCCATGAGCCTGACGAAGCTACAAGCCTGTAAGGTATATATACAGAGGTATTGAAATATTTAATTATTCAACAAAACAAGACTAAAAGTAGCAAAATTGCAATTAATGTCGTGATAGTGATATTGTTTTATACCCAGAATCCCTCTAATACCAAATAACTTTTTTTTTCAGTTTAAAGTAAAGTTGCAGCCTATTTACGTCCCACTGCTGGGCACAGGCCTCCTCTCATTTCTGCATTGAGATATATGAGAGGGTTTTAGGGCAAGGAAATGTCCACCGCGCTGCCCCAATACGTGTTGGCGAACTTCACATGTCATCGAAATATTTTTTTTATTTCTCAAACATGCAGGTTTCCTCACGATGTTTTCCTTCACCGCCGAGCACGTGGTAAATCAGCACTTAAAATTGCAATTAACAATTTCATTGGTGCCGGCGGGGATCGAACCCGGGTTGCTCGAGTACTGTGAAGCTTACAGCGAGCGCTAACCATCTGAGCTACCACGGCTCAGGCTTCAGTTTTAAGATAGGGATAATAACATCGATGTTGGCATCGCTAGCTCAACATCGATGTTCGATGTTTAGGCTACTCAAAACATCGATGTTGACCATTATCGATGGTTTTTGTATATGTGTAGATACTTACACTTTATTTTAAAATTATGTGGGTATACACAGCAAGGGAAAAGTAACAATTAACTTGAATATCAATTTATGTAGAATAGTTATTATGCGACAACCGACAACGACACTACAAAATAAAGCGAAAGCAGTGACCATTGTGACATTACAGGAGACACTTGACAATTAAGTTTGACTCACCATACTGACATGTTTTTAGATTAACGATGTTCAGAGCAGATGCAAGATTTAGTTGATATTGATTTCGCGAGTTCTCATTGTTTGCAAGTTCCCAATTATCGATTATGGGTTCATTGACGTCGATGTTTCGATGTTTGACATATGTCAACATCGATGTTAAAACATCGAAGTTTTAATTTTTAACATTGATGATCATCTAACATCCCTATTTTAAGTGTGTTTCCCACTCAGCGTGTGTTATGCGACGATCGTAAATAAAGCGCAAGGTCAAACTTTACGCGTCAGTACTGATTGTTTTGCACATGGCCAGCTCTATATTGCTTTTTCTCGCGTTAGCAGTCCCCGTAACCTTTTTCTGTACGCCCCGGCTAAGTCTACTTCTATCGTCGTTTACACAGAAGCTCTATCATAAACGACTTAGAACTTTGAGAATATCGATTTATTTTGTTACCACTTATTCATAGAGTAATGATATAAATCGGTTAATATTCTCTTACCCTAAACGTCAAATTCTTTAAGTAAAATCTATATTCGCGAGCTACGCCGCGGGCACAGCTAGTACCTAATAAGCTTCTAAGACGGTGATAAGATACCCTTAGTATATTCAAGATTACAGCCCCGACTTTTCTGGCTACAGACTATTTGTGGAAATTATTTTCTTTAGTTATGAAGTCGGTTTATACATTTTATTAAAACTTTAAATATTTTACCATTTTGAGTGGTCTAAAAATATCACAATTTCAAAGTAACAATTATAATGTCATCTAAATAGTTACATTAAAATATTTATCTCCTATTTTCCACCCTTAAGGATGAAATTTATTTCTTATAATTTATATGGCAACACCTTTTATACGTGGTAGAGCCATGCTGCAGCTTTATTAGTAGTATGGTTGTAGCACGAATGGGTCGGCTCGACCGGGGCAAGACCACGCTCTCACAGAATACCAGCGTAAAATAGCATCTTAACACTGCTGTGTTTCGTATGGTGAGTGTAGAGAACCGGAGACCCTTTTTTACTGGAAATAAGGCATTCCATCTTAGTACTCACGGGTGACAACGCATCTGCATTTTGATTCCCAATCGAGGATAAGTGTAGATGTCTATGGGCCACAGCAACCACTTACCATCAGGTGGACTTTGTGCCCGTTTGTCACCCTATCTTATTAAAAAGAACCTCTGAATAAAGAAAATATTCATAAAAACATACGCGTCGAATATAAAACCTCTTTTTTTAACTCTGTTAAAAAGTTAGGAAGCCATTTATTTTGTTTTCATTATTTTTGTTCAGGTTATACAATTTGAAATTTTGTAAAAAGTTTAAGTTTATCCATGAATACAATTTAAATATGTAATACCTTAATAACGTAATGATATACCAAATAATTTTTATCGTATCTAAATTTTTACGTCCATATTACAATCTCAATTAAAATCTAATTGTTACAAGGAGTAAGTATTTTATGTGAATTCTTTTGTCCACATGAACTTTACGTAAGTTATGATAACAACATTATTAATTTTTAAAAGAATATGAAAAATTATATCTAACCTTCTGACCTACAAATAAGCTATCAGCATATTATTTACGAGTATGATAACAATCTGTATCAGTGCTTTTCTTTTGTATTTTGGGTAGGTTTCATTTTTAATGTAAGTAATATGGAGGATGTACGTTATCTCTGCATAACAGAATATCCAAAACTAGTAAAAGTAGGGCCAGAGTAACATACATAATGAAGTGGATCAGTGAAATGGCAATAAGCTCGAAGCACCGACAGTGCGGAACAAAGAAAAGGGTTTCTAGAAGAAGCTCACAACAACACAGTGTAGGGCGTCAATCTACTAAATAATGTAACAACTTGATGAAACTAGTAAGAAATAGATGATGAGCATGCACGTGGCTCAGCACTGAGTTTTATGGCAGCCTTTCCGGTTCAGCAGTAGACTTGTGATGGGCAGTAGTGATGATAATAAAAATTATCCATGACATACTAAGAACCTAATTGAAAAAAGTAATGATCAAAAATGTATAAATACCTACATTACGCAAATTCTATTGGTTAGGTATCAAGCAATTACTGATTTCGATTTATAAAATCTGGATAACCAATGCGAACGGTAATTTTATATTAAATTTGAGCTTTATTCTCTAAATTTCCAATATATTGAATATTATAATGTTTTGTAATATTATAATTATTAAGTTTTATTTACATTATTAAAAGATAGTATAAAATTAAATCTAAACTATAAGGTTACAATATTTAAAAAAAAAACTAAAGAACTCCCCGTGGTATCGTACCAAGAACGCTGGCTGCGTTTCCTCACTGAATGGCTATACTTAGCCTTTGTAGGAGAAAAGAACCAGCAATAATAATAAATAATGTTATTTTATTGTTAATTTTATTATTGAAATAAAATCCACGCGGAGAGATAAGATAAGGTGAAAAAGGTCAGAACCGCTTCATGAACATTTCTTCCATGGACAAGAGATATTACGCGTTATAAAACTAGCTTTATACAACAAGCAAACACAACAACAATCACCAAGAGTACCTACATAATCAATTAGTTGGGAAGCTTGTGTGTGTTGCCTTGCATCACTGCAGTTATTACAAAATCTGGCACCTTGTCTCTTCAACTAATTACTCCTACTCAGTAGGTACAATTCTAATATATTTTCGTGGATTACTACAATTACATTTGTTATCATATGACACCAAAAGCGGTTACTAGTCCACAGGCTGAAAATAGATATTTCTAAGATCTCACCAGCTCACCGCTGTAATGATGAATATTTTGTAAGATCTCATCATAGAATGGGGTAGGCGGGTTGCTAACAGCCATTACGTCGCACTTTTAATGAGCAGGCACAGGCGCAGAGCGACCAGCCTCGCGATATTTTGAAGGGTATTTACATGTGTGAAGTAAATTGAAGCTACACCCTAAATATGTACTTCCCACTTCTGGGCACAGGCCGACAGGATTCCGTCTGGTATTTAGCATCTAGCGTCAAGCACGGAATTATAGCATGAAAAAATCTATTTTTCTAAGCTAAGCTGATTGTAAGCGATCCATTATAGATGGAAATATGAAAGTTTGGCATTAAAGTTCTAGGTCTTTATATGTAGCGCTAATTGTTTTAGGGCTTATTGTTTACTGGTACTGGGTACCTCAATCAGTTTAGCCTTACCTGTGTGGAAGCGCTGGTGCTCCAACGCTCTTGGGGAGCCATGGTGTATGCGAAGGCAGGAAAAGGTGTTTGGCATCAGGTATAGTCAGAAGCTTCGGACTGTCCACAGCCCAGTAGATACAGTTCACGAGGACGGATGTGTACGGCGCAATCTACAGCCAAAAAAGACGTAATAATATTTAAAGTGTCGATAATCTAATGGATAAGGTCAAGGTCACGTATAAAAAGTTTTAATAGCAATGCTTGAATTCTTATAAAATGTATTAAGATATTATATATTATTCTCTCGGTTGACAATTTGTTGACTTTATTAAATTGTCAATTTGCACGCCTCACAACGTGAACGAGTGCTCTACTGTCGAAATGTGGCCATACCTCAATTTTGCTACATAAAATCGTTCTTTAGTTTTAGCTAACAGTGGTAGAGCCACGCGGCAGCTTTTGCTGTAGCACGGATGGGCCGGCTCGCACCGTGGTGGTACCACGACCTCACAGAATACCAGCGTGAAGTAGAGGTTTACCTCTGCGTTTCGCTTGGTGAGTGCAGGTGGCCAGAGGCCCTTTTTACTGGAAATGAGGCATTCCATGTTAGTCCTCACGGGTAACAACGCATCTGCAATTTGATTCGCAAACGAGGATAGATGTAGATGTCTATGGGCCGCAGCAACCACTTACCATCAGGTGGACTGTGTGCTCGTTTGTCACCCTTATCCTATAAAAAAAAAGCTACACATCAAATCTATACTATTATTAACGTTACAATAACTACAAACATTGAATTATAAGATTAGTTTATTTTCTAATTGATTCACTTTAGATTACACAACAAAAAGGTAATTGTAAAATATATGGACTGCCGTCCGCTGGTCTGTGCGTCGATGAGTCTTCTCGCTTAGAAATGTAAGCAATAGATTGAGATATGTATTTATAATGTATATAGTATTAAATAAGATTCCATATATTCTAAGGAGGATGAGCTCAACACCGTTTAAAAGTTATTAATGAAAGTCGTTCAGATTCTGTTTTTTGTTTCTTGTAAAAATTATCGTCACTATTATTATATTCATCAAAATTAAATGAAACGCTTATGAGGCGTGCACTTTTGGGTTTTCCAATTTGTTTCCTTTTTTTCTTCTTAATCAGCATTTTCCAACACACTTCTTGGCATACGCCTTTTCAAGAATTAATATAGTATAATATAGCATGCATAATCTGAACGATTTGACCCGACTCAACTAGTTGTGCATGTAAGTTGATGGGGCAGTGTCAATGCCCTCTCACTGATAATTCGATAATTATGCTCCCCTAGTTATTAGTGTGTGGAATTCGGGTTTGAAATTATAATTTGGTCACCAGACTACCGTTCGCTTGTTAGCAGGGTCTCCTTACACCCAAAATTATCAAAACGAAGTGCAGTCAGAATGAACAAGAGAATGGAAGCTTCATCCAAGCATCTTATTAAGCACGCAAACAAGCACGGGTTTGACCTATTGTAGGAGACGGGGAAAATAACGCGATGCCCGCTTCGGTAGTGCTAAATATCGTGTTATTTTCTCTAACTGTGGCTCTCTATTTGAATGTTACAAATATATCGTACGATATTCTAGGATAATGCGGATTTAGACCTAGAAAAGGATGCACGGATCAAAAGTTTTCTCTCCGCATGATCACGGAAAAGCTTCTGGCTGCTAACCAGAAGATTTTCTGTGCTTTTGTGGATCTTGAGAAAGCATTTGATAAGGTTGTAAGGAAGAAAATGTGGGAACTGTTGCCGGGGTATGGTGTGGATGGTCGATTGCTAAGGGCTGTGCAGTCTCTTTACTGTGACTGTAAAGCCTGTGTGCGGGTAGGGCATGACCTGTCACCCATGTTTAGCGTCCAAACGGGCGTAAAACAGGGTTGTGTCATGTCTTCCTGGCTGTTCATACTGTATCTCGACAGCTGTTTACAGAAGCTGAAAGATAGCTGTTTGGGTGTGAAATTTGGTGACATCAAAGTAAATTGTCTGCTGTATGCTGATGATGCAGTGCTTATTGCACCATCAGAGGCAGAACTGCAGGCATTAGTACGTGTATGAAAGAGGAATGTGAAATTAAACGTCTCCGTTTGAATGCTAATAAAACTAAGGTTCTGGTATTTGAAAGGGATGAAGAGAGAACGAAGTGTGAAATATGGGTAAATCAGGAATGTCTAGAACAGGTAAATGAAATTGTATACTTGGGGAGTGCTTTTAGCCGGGATGGAAGATGTGATTTAGATGTGGACAGGCGTGTCGCTGCCGGGAACAAAGTCAATGGTGCCCTGACTGCGTTAGTCAAAAGGCAAGGCGTAGTGAAGAGTGCACACCTTGCAATACATAACGCAGTGTTGGTACCGACTTTGTTATATGGCAGCGAAACCTGGGTATGCCGGAAGAAGCATAAAAGCAAGTTGAATGCAGTGGAGATGCGATCTCTTCGTAAAATGTGCGGCGTTACCATGGCCGACCGAATGCGAAACGAAGAGATTCGCAATATGGCAGGTTTGAAAGATGACCTTATCACAAAAATTGATAAGGGCGTGCTTCGGTGGTTTAGGCACGTTGAGCGAATGAGTGAAGACCGAATGGTGAAGAAAATATATAGCGCGAAAGTTAATATTAAAAGGTCTTCCTGGTAGACCGAGACTAACTTTCGAAGACCATGTGAGCAACTTGCTCGAAGAGGGTAGGGTCAAGAGTACTCGGATACCTAGACGTGCATGTATGAAGAAGATAATGAATCTGAAAGAAGCGAAAGAGGTATGTAAGGATCGTGACACTTGGCGATCTGTTCTCTCTGGCTACCCCGTCAGGGATTGTGCGTGAAGATAAGTGAGTAAGTAAGTATATTCTAGGATAAGTAACCAAGTTTCAGATCTTTTGATGAAATTTCATTTTCTATATTAAATAATAACATTTATAACATCTATAACAGTATCTGTTATTAGAAATGTCATTACAGATTTCGTGAAAGAATCGATTATAATAAAATTTCAAGCAGCAATACTTTTACTTTTCTTTTATTTGAATGTCACCTCAATTTTTCAAGTTTCGTGTAGACATTTATTCGGTTGGTAAATGGATAGTGAAAACATTTCATTTTGTGTTTTTAAATTTAAATATGAGCAAGTATGCATTATAAATTGCTTAAAAACTTATGTTTTTGTTTATAATGTACACATACTTGTATAAATTAACGAGCTTAAACAAAAATTGCTCTATCTCAATATTATTGAGGTATAATTATGAAGACAATCGCCACGTGATTAGTTTACGATCGGATATTTCAGAGATATTATATCGCCATATATTTATCGAAGGCCGCAAGATATCCCCACACTAATATAGGTAGGCAAAAAGTGGAGTAGGTATAATGTGACTTAAACAATACCCCACGCCGAGTTTCCCTGACTGATAAACTGATAAACAGTGGACGTTTGTAGATCTGACAACAACGATTTTAATGTGTTACCGATAATAGACTTATTTTATTATTTTAATCTTACTTCGCAAATTTTATCCTATACCGGTGCTTTTAATTAAATTAATACTTTACATAGGCACTTACTAAGGCTGACCTTGAAACTGAAAATCAAATCAATCAACGATATATGTACAAACTATATTTGATAACATCATTAAATATAATTTATATTAATTTTAGTAATGAGTAATAATTTTAGTATTAGAATTAACTTGAATGAATGTAATATTACCCTATGATCCTTCCTGCTCGAAATAAATAAATAAATTAATTAAATAGAGTGACAAATTTGTTATATAATCGCCTGTATTATCATATATCTAGGTATTATAATCAATGTTTAGAAAAGGTATAGGGCTTAGGCGATCGTCAAAATACGGAGTCGTGAACGGTCCATTATAATTGGTATATTTTTACTTATTTTTATGGTCTACTGCTAGCCACTAGACATAGGCCTCACCCGTTCCCGTCCAATTATCGCTGTAAACAGGCGGAGTCTAATATTTCCCATTTAATTGCTCCTTATGGTACCACAGAAGTAAAATATATATGTTTAATTGTAACAAAAATTGATTAAAACGTTATTTAACATAACATTATCAAATTTAATTTTTAACTTAATAGGAACTTGAGAAAAAAATTAAACAACATTTCACCTAGCTAAATTATTAAATTATACCTAAAAAAGGGAAAAAAAAGATAATTAAAATGCATCTGTACCGTTTGCGCAAATGTAGAAACGTATCGTTCTGGATGTTCCTCGTACTCCTGATTATCGTATCCGCCACCATTCTTCCTTACCAGATGATGCCGACGACGTACTTCGCATCCGTAGATTTTATTTGGGCCTAAAACAAATTTCATCAATTCCATAAAGCCATGTGAGACGATGGTTGAAGATCAATATTATATTTCGACTTGAAATAACGGTCTGTCATGTATCATGAAGTATTGTCAAGCGGATGAATTAGACGTACAACAAGAGTCATTTACAAAGTAGATAGATCTCTCTCTGCAATGTCATCATTGCCATCATTACAGCTCATCTGAATACTGAATACAGGCCGCCCCAAGGCAGTAGTGTGTAGCAGTGATTGTACATGGCTACTGCATTGCATGGACACCTGCAACCACCTTCAAGCAAAGAAGGTTACAGATGTGTCGTCACCTCTGTGGACTAAGATAATATGAATGCCTATATAGAAATGCTAATGCCTCACATTCTGTAACTATACTGGGTCTGTATACCCTTCAGATCGAAACACACGGTGGTACCTACCCAGATGGCGTCACGTGCAGAAAAGGAGTTCTACCACCTACGAAATTTCATTGACTTATTAAAAAAGCCCTAAATCTGGATATTTTTTTTTTTTTATTTATTTATTAAAAGAAACTTACAGCTTTTATATCACATTTGAATGTGAGATGAATGTTAACAATACATTAGCCAAAACAGTTTCCAACGTTAAGATTTACATTGCGAAAACTTTAAACATAATTAAATGAAGTACATATTTCTGTTTTGCCAAAGAGAAAAATATAATTACTGCATACGTAATACCAATGTTAGTAAAGGTAATTTTATATTCAGATAGAGGACAAGAAGTACAAACACTACCTAAGCGTGATCAACTTGTCTAATAGATGTAACATAACTATTTAATTTGCAGTTAAATATGTCAATATGGTTATAACGCTCATTATGTGTGTTGCAAGCGCGAACCAGAAACCGGTTTTTCGAATACTTAGTTCTGCAAAAAGGAGTAGAGAAAACTGCATTGGAGCGAGCACTCAACCTAGGGCATCTAAAAGTAATACGACTTAGAAGGAAGGGGGAATCTATATAGTTATGTAAAAGTTTAAACAGAAACACCTGATCTCTATGTTCACGTCGTAATTCTAATGAATGATGTAGCGCAGAATGATCCTTAAATTTGTAATTAAGTCTTTTCAGAAACTTATTTTGAATCCTTTCTACTTGTTCCACATAAGTAGCGTAAATAGGGTTCCACACCGTAGATGCGTATTCAAGATGACTTCTTACTAAAGAATTATACAGCATAATATAAGTGTTTTTGTTTTTGAAGTCCTTGCATTGTCGGAAGACAAAACCTAACATTCTATAAGCCTTGGCAGTAGCCTTGTCAATATGAGACGCAAAGTCTAGTTTACTATCTAGATATACCCCCAGGTCCCTCACCTCGGTCACTCTTTTAATCAAAATGTTATTTAATTTATAATTGTAAACAATCGGTCGTTTTTTTCGGGAATAAGATATAGTATAACATTTATCAATAGTATAACATTTATCAATATATTCTAAACAAGGTAAAGCGATCCTTCACACATGGGATATTGTAGTCACCTTTGGGATGGCACAGTAAAATATCAACTTGCTTCACTCGACTCAGTGGAACGCAGAGCCATTAGGCTTATTGTCGACAAAAAGATACTTCACGCATGGGGTATTGTAGTCACCTTTGGGATGGCACAGTAAAATATCAACTTGCCGCACTCGACTCAGTGCAACGCAGAGCAAAGGCTTATCGGCGACAAAAAGCTGGTGGAAACTAAACTTCACAGCTTAACTCACCGCCGCCAAGTTGCTTGTTTGTCGGTCTTCTACAGATTGTACTTCGGAGAGTGTGCCCATGAGCTTCATAAATTCATACCGCCATCTCCATTGTCCTATCGGAGTACCAGACGTACTGCAGGTTACCATCCACACTTGATTTGTTACAAGTCATCTTTTATAATGCGCACAGTCAAGGAGTGGAATGCCCTGTCGGCGTCTGTTTTTCCGAGTGCGTATAACCTTAACCTCGTCGAGGTGCATGTTAACAGGCTTCTCCTGGGCAAACTCGCTCCATCGAAGACTTCATCCTTGCTCTCGGGCCAGATGGAGGTCAAGAGTGAGCCCATTTTTTATTTAAAAAAATCTTTTATAATTTTAAGCTACATTATGTACCTAATTTATTTATCCTTATCCGACATTTTTGACAGCTGGTACTTGAAGATGGATGAATTTTAAGTTTTAAAACAACAGTATAAAATAGCAACATAACCCTTTGATGTTTCGTATGGTGAATGACGAGAACCAGAGACTTTTACCTTTACTTGTAACGAGGCATTCCATCTTAATCCTGTAGGGTGATAGATAACGTAAATTTGCATTTTTATTTTTAATCAAGAATAAATATGTCAGGTGTCATTCATCATTTGTTTTCGTTTTATCCCTGACTTACATATAATAGACAAAAATCTTTTACTTACTGCCATGTTCTGCCACTTTCCTTAACATCTCTGGCGGTACGTATTCGTGTGGAAGTTCTTGGAAAATTTCTTGACTTCCCTAGAATAAATTAATTTTATATATTTAAAAGCGTCTTAAATTGCTGTGAACTTAATAATATTTCATAGCCTCAATGAGTACTCACCTGAGATACATTTCCTGAGCCCGTAAACACAAATGTTAGAGGTCCAAGGGACTTTGGCATCATTCCAAGCGCAACTTCGTAGCCAGCATCGCGTATTGCTTGACGCGCCATACTTGAATTTCTATAATTGTGCGCTGGACCCACGTGCTAAAGAACAAATTTGTTCAAAGGCTTTTCCATAAAAATCGATATCAATAAAAATTCACTACTTAATAAAAAACTTAGTAAGTTAGTTAGTCCTGAGTCCTTCTTTCATTTTCAAGAGAGTAATTATCCGCCGCGCTGTTTCAGTGGATTTCACATAATATGTTTTAAAATATGTTATTTGTTATATATTATGTTTATTGCTCAGATATGCAAGCTTCTTGACGATTTTTGGAACGAAGTATCTTATAGCACGGTACAAATTTGATGGATGGGGGCTACGCGAGAAAAAGTGTAAGATTTTTCCGTCACGAACCCCTTTCTGTAGTGAGAGCGAGATGAAATAATATCCGTCTCTCTCGCTCTTTTTATTATCTTACTATGAAAGTAATATTATTTTAAATGACGCTTCATTTTAATAGACGCTAGTAATTCATTTATTTGTATTTGTTAATCAATAATATAATACGTTTATTAAAAATAATATATTATGAAAAGAACTTCGCTCCAACCGAGTGTTCCACGACACTCACGCATGTTTTTTCTATCACTACCGAACACATGGCAAACCAGCACTTATTTCAATTAACAAAATCATCGCTGCCGGCTTGGAGCGTCATTTTACGGCAAGACAGGCAGGCCTTGCCGTAAAATGATACCAATGCTCAAGTTAAAATAAAATAACATTTAATTACGCCGTGAGTCGACGGCATAATATGAACAGTGCATCGCCCCAGTCGACTGAGAGAAATACTTAGATTTTGTGATCATCAAGATCTTATTTGTAGCGGTAGCGGCAATAGTCTAGTATACAAAATGTTAAAAAAAACCCTGTCCGACATGTGAGGGTTCTTCAGGTATCGTAATATGATACTGTTCATATCACATCACGATACCTGAATTGCATCTGATGATCTGTACCTACATTCGGCGGCACACGTTCGAAGATACAGTCGCTGACGACGGCGTTGCCCGATTAAAAAAACATGGTGTATTTTAAATAACAAAAACATTTTTATATTCTATATCTTAACACGATGTTTTCTTGGTAATGTCATTACGGTACCATACAATGTGCCCCTTTCGGATCGGATAGGGTTTTCTTTAGATATTGTAGATATAGGTAAACCAGATTCAAATATAGTATAGAGACCGGCGACGCGACGGGGAAGCAGCCTCAAAAGCGCAAGGCGCTTGGTTTATAATGGCAAATTTGTCTGCCCTATAAAGAAAATTCTATTATGTACGAGGTTCATGTCAAGCAGTGTGATGTTTACCGACTAACGAAGCAAGTAAACGGATATGGATAAGAAGGTATAAGACGTTTTTCGCACAAACCATACAAATATTGATAATTACAAAATTTCATTGACGATATTTTTATACAGAAAATTGGTTTTATTTTATACGTTTTTCTTTTCTAACTTTTATTTTTCAACCCGTGAACGGTCCACTGCTGGACATAGTCCTGTTCCGTTGGGCGTAAGTTATGCGATAAGCACCACGTTTGGTGGGTGGATTGGTGACAGTACCACACATCTCACGTCACTGCCACCGCACGGCTATAATGTCAATTAAACTTCCTGCTAATGTAACTGCCTCATCGTTCTAGTGGTCGTAAACGCGGCTAGTGTGCGTCGGACCAATTCTCAGTAGAATCCTGGAGTCTGGAAGTTAGCGGTGCTTCACCCCCGCGGAAAACACGTGGTCGTGGCGGATTGCCGTCCCATCTAGGGTTACCATATCTCAGGATTTGTCCTGAGATTTCAGGATTTTTAGACTCTTCTCATGATTGCGGCTGGATTTTGCAAATCTCATGAAATCTCAGAATTTTTAGAACTTTCAATATAATACAACTTACATTTTAAAGATCTCTTTAATAGAAAGTTAAACAAACTAAAAATAGTTTTCCTTTGGTAATAATTCCACAATTAAAATCAAAACTTATTTATCCAAGTAGGTACTTAAACAGTTTTATCATACTTAATAATATGTGAAGATACCTTTTTAAGTAAGGTTTTCTTCTCCAACTGTAAAAAAATCTCAGGATTTTTAAATGGAAATCAGGCCTCTTCTCGGGACTTTTAATTTTTTCATCTGGTAACCCTAGTCCCATCGGACGATAAGAGCGAGGGAATAGAAAGTGCGCCCGCGCTTGCGCATACGTTCGGGCACTATAATCCTGTCCTACGCAGATAGATGGGTTAGTTACCGTTGAGATGGGCCGCCGTGACCTTAATTCTGTCCGGAGAACATTGTGATGTAATTTAAATAAACGCCTTTTTTCTTCATAATAATATTACATATTTCAAAATACTTTACCATAAAAGGAGTATGGTGGCCAAGAGCTAGCAATCGTAACCCGAGACCGTGCAATATATTAATCATTCCAGCTACACCGGCGTATTTTCCAAACGCCACCACTCTGTTCCCTGCACCGTCCATCAGCTTCTCGTAGTCAATTAGGCGAATATTCTAAAAAAAATCAACGTTAAATAAACCATGTAACTTAATTAACATTAAATATGTTCGTCTTTTTATAGAATAGAGGTAACAACCGCGCACACAGTCCGCCTGATGCAGCAAAAATTTTTGTACGTGCTAGAGCCATGCTGCAGCTATATTAATAGATGTGGAACGTACGGGTCGGCTCGACTGGGAAAGGAGCACGCTCTCACAGAATACCAGCGTAAAATAGCAGCTTAACACTGCTGTGTACTTAATGGTGAGTATAGAGAACCGGAGACCCTTTTTACGCGAGAAAAGGCATTCCATCTTAGTCCTCACGGGTGACAACGCATTTGCATTTCGATTCTTTATTTAGGATATATGTAGATGTCTTATGGGTCACAGCAACTTACCATCAGGTGGTCAGTGTGCTCGTTTGTCAAAATATTCCATAAAAAAATTATTATGCTTTGAGCACTTCCCGTCTGTAAACATATTTGAACAATTTTTCATAATGTACGTGGTAGAGCCACGCTATAGCTGTATTGTGGCTGCAATATAAATAGGTCCACTCGACCGGGAAAGGACCGCGAAAGTCTAACAGCATACTAGCATAAAATAGCATGATGCTGTAGCTCTTTGTATGGTAAGTTTGAAATACCGGATGATACCCCTTTAGCTGGTAATGAGGCATTCCATGATCCTCAATGGTGACTCTACATTCTCTTTTGTGTGTGTAATTGTAAAAACTCGCGCGTGTCCTTGACATAATATGCGCAATATCCACTAATAAAAATCATTATCAATCATTTATTATGGTTAAACTGTTTAATAAATATTTTAATTTGTATTTTCTTAAGTTTTTCTCTTTCTACTTAAAAAATCCGAACATGTCAGGAAGATTCCTGTCATCTGGTAACCCTAATCGCACCTGATTATAAGTAGTAATCAAGCCCTAGAAAACGGAACACAGCAGAGAGCACACTGCCGCTTAAAAACAGAAACCGTTAATAAAGTCTACCCAAATAAAGTCGTAAGTGGAAAAACAAACCTACCACCAAGCATTGCTCGTAACCGCGAAACATTTCCTACTAAGAGGATAGAGTTACATATATACGAGTATTATAATAAGCAAGCTAATTTCCTATGTTTACATAAAAATGTACTACATTGCTATTTTTGTCTTTTAACTTCCATTTATGATTTAACGGCTCCGTGGCACAATGGCTTCTTAGCAATAAGCTGCAGCGCCAAGGGCCGGAACAAGTATTTGTATGGCCTACAAATAATTGTTCCGGGTCTGGATATTTGTCCTTGTGAAATCTATGTATGTAAACTACCCCCGTGATACAGGAGAGAATCCTAGTGTGGAGGTAACGTTTTTTTTTAAATTAAATAAAAAAATCGTATTATATGTACCTATACATATAAATAAAATTGAAACGTCTGTCTGTAATAATAAAATAGCTGGGTTCTATTAAGCTCAGGGGTTATTTGCATGCTATTGAGACATAAATAACTTTTTTTTTAATTTTTGTCTATACGTCTGTCTGTACGTGCTTATCTACGGAATTACTAAACCGATTGTGATGAAACTTTACAAACATATATACAACAATACCAGGATGGATCTAAGCTATATTGTATCCTAAAAATTTTAAGATTCTTTTTAAAAAAAAAAACGTACCTAAAATCAACAAAATAAATGGTATCTGGTTTTCTTAAATCTCAATAAAGTCACATTAATAGATAGATGTAAATACACTCGTAACTGTACAACGCAAAATACCTTAAAAATGCCTACTTCTATCAAATGACGTACCTATTACACTAATAGATGTTCTAGATAGTTGCTACACTATATCACACAACTGATCACGGCAAAATTATACGTGTTGGTATCGACCAGGACCACGCCCTCGCAGAATAGCAGCGTAAAATAGCAGCTTCGTGCTACTGTGCTTTTCGTATGGTGAGTGTAGAGAACCGGAGACCCTTTTTACTGGAAACGAGGCATTCGCATTTTATCTTGGTCCTCAGGTGTGACAACGCATCTGCATTTTGATTCTTAATCGTAAATAAATATAGATGTCTATGGGCCACAGCATCCACTCGCCATCAGGTGAACTTATTGAAACGTAGTTCTTTATAGAACGATACGGATGGGGGCTAGGCGAGAAAAGGTGTAAGATTTTTCTGTCACGACCCCTTCTGACGTATTATAGACGGCCATGGCGGTTAAAAAGGGCGAGGGAGATGGAATAATATCCATCTCCCTCGCACTTTTTCTTATCTTGCCATGTAAAAAAATATTATTTTAAATGACGCTTCATTTTAATAGACGCTAGTAATTCATTTATTTGTATTTGTTAATCAATAATATATAATACGTTTATCAATAATAATATATTAGAAGCGTCAGTAGCCTAATGGCAGGGCGCGGACGCGAACTCGAAAGGTCGTGGTTTCGAATCCGCCATTCGGCTACTGTCGTGAACCACTTCTAACACAAGCATTTTAAGCTTACCATATTAGTAATGTTTAATTACATTACTAGTATTTTAAAAAATACTAAGAAAGGAACTTCCAAACGAGTGTTCCACGACACTCACACATGTTGTTATCTATATAAAAATAATTACAGCAACTTATCATTGTAGAATCGCTTCCGGTACTTACCTTTGCTAGAATAGCATCCAACATAGGCATATTAGCTTCCTGGGCTTTGATAGTGTGTGAAAAAAAACAATATGTCTTGTTAGGTATAAGAAGATCGATAGGTGTTTGCTTGACGCCAAATATCACGCTCGCTTCGCTGATATCCTCCTGGATTATTGCACCAGCGTTTAGGTATGACTGAAAAAGAAATGAATGTGAGTCAAGGCTGAACTTAAGTTTATTTATATCGTATTATTCAATATTCAATTAATAATCAGTTATTGATATTGTGTCCGCGACTATGCTAAATAATAAATTTTATAATCCGCTTTATCTTAAAAAAAAACACGACTTACTTTCTATAAAGACCTGAGTTGCTAATAGCGCAATATCATTGAATATATAATGTGTAAAAAAAAATATACTTTATTAGGGTGTACGATTATATAGACACCATCAAAACTATTATCATCTCTGAAAGTTTGGCGTCACGTACTTATATTTTATTTATAGTACATATATAGACTTTTATAAAATAGATAGGAAAGCATTTTTTTTCCAACAGACGCGAGAAAAACCATAATACATTGTAATCCCATAGCAGCTAATTCCTCTAGGGCAAGTGGTGGTCATATTTTTAATAAATATATATTTATAGTGACCTGCATAGGGTATGCACGACGGTTGGAAGGCTGCACTATGACTTTAACTCCTTGCCGCACCAGCCTGTTCACGTTGGCCGGCGAAAAAGGTGCGCGTCTCTCCCATACTGATTGATCTTCTCTTCTTATTGCTATTACACGACGAGGCTAAAATATAATGATCGTTAAAACTTATGACACAAAATTAAATCTCTTTGCCACCGAGTTCAAAAAGGAGACGGTACTATTGGTAATTCGATTGTATGTTTTTTTTTTTAATGTGTGTTATCTCACAACTTTTGTCTAGGTGAACCGATTTCGATGACTCTATTTTAATTTGAAAGCTGGTGCTTCTCATGTAGTCCCATATAAATTTGATCAAGGTCTGACCAATAGTTTTTAAGTTATTCTTAATAATTTATATTGAAGTTGGTTGTACAAAATTTTTAATTTTAAATTATATCTAGTAATGCTTACAATTGTATTATCACAAGTTCACTGCTGAATGAAATATGTCTCCCGTAAAGACTGTTACAAAACTCTTTGCCACAAAACCTACATGCCTTACCAGGTCGTCATTCCATCCAGCGTGGGGTCACTCTACAGTCCCCTTACTGATACTAGGCTACAACTCAAGAAACTCACACTCTCTAACCAACTGATCACTTGGCGGGTGTCCATAAATCTCGAAAAATCGACAACCGATGGTGAAGAAAGGTTCTCGGGTAGTAGACGTTTAGACCGATATAATATAGTCATATTATTATCCGAGTTATCTCGGATAAACAGAAGGTTAGTGTATTACCGAGTTTTTATTGTTGGCCTTTTTTTTATTTTGTAGTTATCATCAGGATTACGCTGCTGCCCATCTCCTGCTATGTCGCTTCTAACGACACCCACGGAACGATATGGAGTAGTGGATATTCTTACACCTTCACTAAACAGTAACGCAGTTTGTGTTTTTATTGAATTGGTATTAATATACATATGTACCTATCCCATGAATATCAATCAAATAAAAAAAACCGGCAAAGTGCGAGTCGGACTCGCGCACCGAGGGTTCCGAACAAATCTGTAGGTATATAAGCTTAAAATTATTAAAAATATTTTTATTATATGATGTAACTAATAATTTATGCTTTTCGCAATTTTTCCTTTATCTGTGCTATAAAACGTTGTTTCGTATCAAATTTCAAGATTCTGAGTTCACGGGAAGTACCCTGTAGGTTTTGATTCCCTTGCGAATGTCGAAAATTTACGGCATAAACGGCTGTATATTTTGATTGCGTTGGCTTAGAAGTTTGATTTTTTCACAGCTTTAAGGGACAGTAGACTTGAGTATTTGATATGAATTTCAGCTTGTTACCTCCACGCGTTCCTGATAAAAAGGTCTTGACAGACAGACAGACAGACAGACGGACGGACAACAAAATGATCCTATAAGGGTTCCGTTTTTTCCTTTTGAGGTACGGAACCCTAATAATAATGCCTACTTACATAAACATTATTTTTGGCGACATTCCCTCTGTCGTTTTAATTATTTTATTACAATTATATATATACAATCTTTATAACAATATTAAGTTTAAAATTAAATTATGTAATCCTATTCGAGAAGCTTTTTCCCCACTAGGTGGAGTGACGACTTGGCAAGACATGCAGGAAGTCGATGGATGCATGTTGCTCAGGACCTACTGCGGCATTCTTTGGGCGAGGCTTATGTTCAACAGTGGACCTGTGATGGGCTGTAATGATGATTCTACAAGGTATAATGAGAAGTAGCAGAACATTTTTACGTGATAGAGCTATGTTGCGGCTATATTAATAGTATAGTTGTAGCAAGAATAGGTCGGCCCGACCGGGGAAGGATCACACTCTCACAGTATACCAGCGAAAAATAGCAGCTTAACGCTGCTGTATTTCGTATGGTGAGTGTAGAGAAAACGACATCGTCACCAACAACATTATCCTTTTTATAACATACATCATATTTAGTATGTATCCTAAATATGATTTATGATACCTACTAAATATGACTTATTTTAGTTTTATTTTTATTTTCACTATGGTAGATATCAATTAGTGTATATTTTTATGATAAGTAAATAAATGAGAAAAAAGTAAACATTAAAAATATATGATTTGTATATTATGTTTTGTTGATATATTTTGTACTTAATTGATTCTATTTTACCGTGTAGAATGTAAGCGGTGTAAGAATATCGACTACTCCATATCATCCCGTGGGTGTCGCAAGAGGCGACAGAGATAAACAAATCAGGAGATGGGCAGCAGCGTCTTTCTAATAACGACTAAAAATATAATTAAAAATTAAAAATTTGGTACAACCAACTTCAATATAAACTATTAAGAATAACTCAAAAACTATTGGTGATACCTTGATCAAATTTATATGGGATCACATGAGAAGCACCAGCTTTCAAATAAAAAAAGAATCATCGAAATCGGTTCACCCAGTTAAAGTTATGAGGTAACACACATAAAAAAACATACAGTCGAATTAAGTACCTCCTCCTTTTTGAAGGCGGTAGAAAAATAAATTGTGGTCGCCAACTCGCTTGCCAAGCGTGGCAACGATTACGTGAATATCCCCCCTACGAGGCAATCTATTTAAGAGGCTTATTTTCAGCAGTTAGCTTTAATAGGATGTAACGGTAATCATATTGTAACCTTGGACTTAGAGCTTATCTTATCTTTATTAATAGTAGACCCCTTGCAAGAAATAAATTATTTTTTATTACTTAATACTACAAAAATAAAGTCCTACAACAGAAATGAGTTCAACAAACTTAAAATAATCGAAGTAAGTAAATATTTAATTATTTGTTATTAAGCAAGTAGACCAATGCAACTCGTATTAAATGAGGTGAGTGTGTAATAAACTAAAAAGACAAACAAGATATGAAATGTTTCCATCGTAACACGCCGCTATCGAACGCTTAAAACGATAAATATATTATGGAAAGTTGTTGATTATGTGAACAGATATCCATTGATAGATGGCCGAAACATGATTAATGTACATAATGTGACGCTACGTCCCATTCCGTTTTCTTTATTTATTTATTTCCATTTATTTATACTCTTTTTTGCACACAAAATACTACACAACACAGCAAACTTAAATTTATAAATGTAATATGTATGTACAATTAGGTGGCCTTATCGCTAAACAGCAATCTCTTCCAGGCAAACCTTGGCGAAGGAGATAATTTTCATTTAAATATATAGAAGTGTGCATAAATAGTAGATAAACAAGTACATTAGTATATAGTATATAAGACAATGCAATAATCAAATACATAATATTATATATACATATACACATAAATACACAAATACATACATACATACATATATATATATATATATATATATATATATATATATATACAGTGATATAAAATAATAATAATAATAAGATAAGATATAGATATAAATAATATGAATAAATAAGAAATAAACTAAATCTCCTTTACCAACCAGCGAGATCGCAAATCGCAACTAAACAATCAATAGAAGTTACACTTCACACGTACACATTTACAGCAATACTTAGTAAAAACGTAGGACTTATAAGCTTAATAATATTACAAACATAAAGTAAATAATTAACAGTAGTAGTAGGGTTTTATTTAGTACTCTTTACTTACTTACATATTATGTTATTTAAACGAATATTTTTCGTAATAAGTAATTATTAGCCAATACTTTTAAAATTAAATTAATACGAGGGCGGCACTGAAAATTTCGGGAATCAAGGAAGTGACACAACATTACTATTTAAAAATGTATTTATTGCTTTTCGAAGTATTCTCCGCGAAATTTGACACATTTTTCCATACGATGGAACCAATCATTGAAGCAACCATTCCATTCGGAAGTTGGGGTCTCCAAAATGGCCGTTTTGTAGGCGTCCACAGTTTCTTCAGGTGATGAAAATCTCTGTCCACGCAATTTATTCTTTATTTTAGGGAAAGTATAGAAATCATTAGGGCTTAGATCGGGGCTGTACGGCGGATGGTCTAATAATTCTATGTTTTCTTGCTCTAAAAACTCTTTTGTTCTGTGTGCGGTGTGAGAACTGCATTGTTGTGATGGAGGATGATGCGACGGTTGCAGTTCTTTTTACGGAGTTCAAAAACGACCTGTGACAAAAGAATGCTAGCATACCATTCTGCATTAATCGTTCTTTGTCCCTCAAGACGAATAGTCGTAACATGGCCGGTTTTGGAGACAAACGTGGCCACCATTTTTTTTGCAACACTTCGTGAACGAACAATTTTTGTTGGCTTTAACTCATTTTCGAACACCCAAACTCGTGACTGGTTTTTTTGTTTCGGGTTCGTACGCATATATCCAGGATTCGTCACCTGATACGATGTTGTATACAGCATTTGAGGATCCTGCGTGGAATCTTTCGAGAGTTCTGACGCACCAAGTAACGCGAGCCGCTTTTTGCTCTTCACAGAGCGAATGCGGTATCCATCGGGAAAACAACTTTTTTACACCTAATTGTTCATGCAAGATTATTTGTATTTGACTCATGCCAATGTCTAAAGTTGCCTGAATTTCGCGTTATGTCACACGTCGATCTTCCTCAATCAGCTTACGCATAGCATTAACGTCTTCTTGGGTGACTGCAGTTTTTGGACGACCTTGACGGGGATCATCACTGAGCTTGACACGTCCACGTTGAAATTCAGCAAACCAGCGATAAATTATGGTTTTGGATGGGGCTTCATCACCAAATGCAAAAATCATCCGGTCAACACACTGTTTTTGTATTAAACCACTTCGAAAGTTATAATAAATCATCGCTCTTGAATTTTCTCGAGTCAATTCCATTTTCTCAACGACTAAACAAGTTTGACAAAACCTTGTGACATGACCGAGAATCTTTTTTGTATAATCTTTTTTGACTTTCATGTAAGAAAAGCGCTGGTAGGTTTTCACGACACAGTTCTTTGAACGATGTCATCCGAAGGGCTCTTGCCTCTATAAATGTTCCCTCAGTTTTAGAGCCTTGTGGAATATTTAGAGACGATGGCAAGAGGGTCTCTTGCCATCATCTAGACGGTATGACATTGGTCCCTTGGGAGAGAGGTAAAGCCCTAGTGTGGGATGCTACTTGCGTAGACACTCTGGCGGCCTCTTATCTCAGGGGTACCTCGCTTAAAGCCGGGGCGGCATCAGAGGCAGCTGAACTGAGTAAGTGGCGCAAATATGAGTCTCTGAGAGATGACTACATATTTGTGCCATTTGCTGTAGAGACTATCGGTCCGTGGGGTCCACGTGCGGTGAAGTTCCTAAAGGAACTCCATCCGCGGCTGGTCGTTGCTGCTGGTGATAAGAGGGCTGGTTCTTTCCTCGCTCAAAGGCTAAGTATAGCCATTCAGCGGGGAAACGCAGCCAGCGTTCTTGGCACGATACCGCGGGGAGTAGGACTATATGATAATTAAGTTTCTAGTTTTAGTTTTTTTTTATTATCATAGTTTTTAATATTGTAGATAAAATTAAGTATTATGTAAAATTTTTTAAATAAATAAATGGTATTCGATTTTTAAAACCAAGGAGTTTTCAATTAAAAAGATTTTAATATGACAGTGGAAATATTGCATTCCCGATACTTTCAGTGCAGCCTATGTAAGTGTCATTTAAGGCGCCACACAAAAGGTGACAAGTACCTATTAGGACGCGTTCCGACGACACGTACCCGCTACGCGCACGCCACGCGCACGCCACGCGTGTCAGCACCAATTTGTTGCATATAATTTGAGTCTTATGACAAATCAATAAATCTGAAAATGCATTTATCGTCGTTCAAACGCACACGCCTCGCACACGCCACGCGCCCGCCTCGTTCCCGCGCCGTGCCGGCCCCGCGCTCGCCCCGCACACGCTTTGCACCCGCCCCGCTACGCCCTACGCCCGCGCTTTTTATACAATTTTAGATTTATTGATTTGTCATAAGACTCAAATTATATGAGTTAGACGCGGGTGCTGACACGTGTGGCGTACGCGTGGCTTGCGCGTAGCGGGTGCGTGTCGTCGGAACGCGCCCTTATGTTTTATAAATATCAACTGTACACATATTATACTCGTAGACCATTTAATATACTCGTAAATGGTTAGTATCAATCACACACAAGTGAGTACAATAACTACCACATGGTACTAAGTATAAGTATGTAATAATAGTACTCGTTTTCTTTTTAAATAATCAATTACATTTTCAGGTTCTAGGAGGTTCCTATAACCTTATAATAAGGGATGGCGGGAGGGCGGACTTAATTCCTTATGGCATTCTCGATCAGTCAACCCTGGATGATTTGAGAAACTGTGGCAGATGTAAACAACCACTTCATAAATTTAATAAATATTTTTTTTAATATAGAATCATGTCACGTTCGTTATATTTTACAAAAAATTTCAGATCTAGTCCTACATAAAATAATATTTATTGCTACATTAATAAATACTCAACATTTATTAATAAATTAATAGTTATTCGCCTTGTGATGCCGGCGAAAGAGAATCCACTACACTATAATATCGTCTCATGGATTTCGTAAGAGGCGGCAGTGCAGGGGCGTGATAACAAATACAGTAAACAACCACTTCATAAATTTAATAAATATTTTTTTAATATAGAATCATGTCAAGTTCGTTTTATTTTATTAAAAATTTCAGATCTAATGCTATTTCTTTCGTTGAAGGGTTGTAGACAAACCCCCGAATATTTTTCTTTGGTATCTCATCCGACAATGATCAGCGATATTTGCTCCATGTGGTGGATGTAACACCAATCTTATTCTTATTCCTTATTCGGAAGGACGCTTCTATAAGGGCCGCTTAAGCTGTTCCATATAAAAAAGCTTAAAAAGCCCCAGCCCTTACTTGTTTTTGTCATAATTTTTGTCGTCGCATCTTGAAATGCAATTAGATATAGATGCAGAATAGAAAAATGGTTGTTTTAATTAAAAATATTACTATTATTTAATATGGTGAACGTTTCTAGGGTTTCTCTCTACATAATTTACTTTTCTGAAAGTCGCCCTTTTCCGTTGGAATAAAAAGCATTCGTATATAATAATAACTATAATAATGAAATATGCTAACTAGATATTATCTAATCTTGAAAATTAAAAATATGTATTTAATTTTCAATATCATTATAATTAATAAACTTATTAGAATTTAAAAAAAATTATAAACTTATTAGAATTGAATTAGAAAAATATTTTAATAAATATTTAGTATTTCAAAATTATTTTTTATTATAAAACACTCACCTTTGACGTCGAAACCGATAATTGTCTCACCAAATGGCTCTTCGTTCGAAAAGCGGCAACTTTATATGACATTTTACTAATATCTTACTAAAAAAATAAACCGATAAAATTAATTACACAGAATCAGTCCGCTTCTTAAGAAGCGTGTAAGTAATCTATATGTTTGTGTTTTACTGACATCCCGAACGGAGTTCCTTGCAGAAAATATTAATATCAGAATGACGCTTTTATCTATAAGCGATTATAATAGTCTATTACGTTGTTTTATTGCTGTGCGTACTGTGCTGAGTACATATTGATACCGATAACTTTCCATTTCATTCTGTAACACTAGTTGTTTTTCATTAAAACGTGCTACTGACATAATTATGGTAACCAACTACCCGAATTAGACTTCGGCATATTCCCGTTATTAACGAGAATATACCCTTTTGAATTTTGATTCATAATCGACGATAAATGTAGATGTTTATGAGCCACAGCTTCCACTTACCATCAAATGAACTGTGTGCTCGTTTGTCACCCTTATTCTATAAAAAAAGTACCTTAACTTACAAAACTATGCATCGTATCGATTGGTAAAAGGATCTGAATGTGGCGTCTGAGACGCACAAAAGATATATCAAAACAAAAAACGAACTAGTTACTTATCTATAACTATACAAATAAATAAAATTGAAGTGTCTGTTTGTAATGTTAAAATAACAGCTTTTTACTAAAGTCTTATTAAAGTATATACGGTACTAATATGAACAAAACAATTTTTAACTTCTTTGTCTGTCTGTCTGTCTATCTGTTTGTTCTGGCTAATCTCCCACACGGCTGAACCGATTTTGACAGAACTTTCACTGGCAGATAGCTGATGTTAAAAAGAGTAACTTAGGATACTTTTGTTTTAGAAAAAGAATCAGGGTTACGCACAAGAAAAATGAAAACCCTTGAAATCGTAGTAAATTCCACGCGGACGAAGTCGCGAGGGACAGCAAGTTAATTAATAAAATTAGCTACTAAAACAATTTATTACTTATGAATTATGAATGAATATTAAATGACTATATTATACATAAAGACAATACTTTACAAGGCGCAGTTTCGGCCTCACATGGAATACTGATCCCATCTCTGGGAAGGGGCTCCCCAGTGCCAGCTCCTTCCACTTGACCGCATGCAGCGCAGAGCGGCTCGAATCGTCGACGACCGAGTTGCATCTCTTTGCATTTTCTTTCGCATTTACCATGGGGAGTGCTCTGAGGAATTGTTCGGATTAATCCCAGCCGCCAAATTTCACGAACACACATCGCGGCAGAACTCCCGATACCATCCGCACCATTTGGATGATTGGTGGTCCACCACTGTGCGATTTAGAAGATGTTTTCTTCCTCGCACAACTTCCTTGTGGAATAGTTTACCAGCAGCGATTTTTCCGGACCGATATGACTTAGGGATCTTCAAGAAAAGAGCCTACTCCTTTTTAAAAGGCCGGCAATACATCTGCGATTCCCCTGGTGTTGCGGTTGTTCATGGGCGGCGGTAGTCACTTACCATCAGGTGAGCCGCATGCTCGTTTGCCCCCTCTCCTATAAAAAAAAATAATCAAAACTATCACTACAATCCATCACAGGTCCATTGCTAAGTAATAGCCCAGCTAAAATCCTCTATAGATGGCCACAAAGTATGTTCCCGAGCCCGTACATAGAGTACATAGTATATAGTCTCATAATCAATTAATAAAAAAAATAAAAAAAATCAATTGCTTATAAAATATGAATCGTACAAATTTTGTTTTCCTAAATTACTAACTAGTCTTATGCATCGGCAATAACTGATATTGTTTACAGTTATTTAAATTACCGTGTAGCAGCGAAGGAGAATTAATACTATCCCGTATATAGGTGTTGTAAGACACGACAGAGGGAAACTGGAACTGGAGATGAGTAGCAGCATCTTTCTTTCTGGCCAATCCGCCCAACAAATGTGGCAAATATGGCAAATATCTCCCCTGATTTGGGGAGCAAATGGGTTAACATGTTACCCTGAAGATTGGTATGGCTCGTTAACGATGTAAACGGTTTCCGGTAATGCTCGTCAATCCGTTTAACAAAAATGAATGCAGATATAATATATCTTTTACTAGCTGATACCCCCGACTTCGTCCACGTTGCTTAAAATAAAATATAAAAGAAAACACATCACTGAACACGTGGTGCTTATAAAAATCCTTCTTTCTTAAAACTTTAATCACTTTATATTAAATTAAGATATCGGAATAATTTTTGTTTAGATACGGGCCGTGTCTAAGAAATAAAACTGAGAAAACCTAATTGAAATCTATCCAGTAGTTTTTTCCGTGATGCGCGCACAACTGTAAACCTCCATCATTTTATTTATATAGAAGATTATGCTACTATTTAACGTTGATATTCTAGTCCTAGTCGGACTATTTGTCCCAGTTAAACATACTCGTCAACACCTTCGAGCTTAGTGCTCCCAACAACTACCGGCATAGGTGTGACATCGACGTTATACATGATCTTTGTTTTTTCCATGTTCATCTTAAGACCTATCCGTTGGGAGACACTATTGAGGTCATTAAGCATGGTGCTTAAGTCCTCCAACATTTCTGCCATAAGGACTATATCGTCGGTAAATCGAAGGTGAGTGATGTACTCGCCATTGATGTTATTACCGTATCCTTTCTAGTTCAGTAGCTTGAAAACGTCTTCCAATGCAGCGGTGAAGAGTTTCGGGGGTATAACGTCACCCTGTCTTACACCTCTCTGCAGTTGGATAGGTTTCGTACTCTTATTCTGTACTCGGATAGCCATGTTCAGTAAGGTACAAACACTTCAGCACTTCAATATACTGACAGTCAACTTGGCACTGCTGAAGGGACTGTAGCACCGCCTATATTTCTACGGAATCAAAGGCTTCCTCATAGTCCACATACGCAACACACAGTGACAAATTGTACTCCTCGGTCTTCTGTACAATTTGACGAAGGGTATGTATGTGGTCTATAGTGCTAAAGCCTTTTCGGAAACCGGCTTGTTCGGGAGGCTGGAAGTCGTCGAGTCTGCATGCGAGACGATTCGTAATCTCTTGAAAACAGCACGTAGACGCAGCTCAGAAGGAAAAATCGGTCTGTAGTTCTTCAAGAGAGCGTTGTCGCCTTTCTTGAAGAACAAGACCACTGCACTTCTGCTCCACGCCTCCGGAGTAGTGCCACCATGGAGGACGGAATTAAAGAGCTTCTGTAGGATTTCAAGTACCGGTTTTCCACCCGCTTTCAAAAGCTCCACTGTATTTCCATCCTCACCCGGGGACTTGCCGTTTTTAAGGTACTGGAGAACCATTCTAATCTCATTCAAACTGACGTCTGGGATATCATCGGAATAGTGTCGTATAAGACTTGCTCTTGCATCGTTACTCACAATTTTGTGTGTATCCAACGATGATGTGTACATCTGCCCCTCAATCTCAATCAAAATCTCAGGTGTCCCGTAAACGATGCTGCCAGATTCGGTCTTCAGTTTCGACAGTTGGCTCTTTCTGGCAGACAGATCTCTGGCAAAGACTTTGGAGCCCTAGTTCCGCTCAATCGCTTCTTCAATGCGAGCAGTATTAAAGTTGTGCAAGTCCCGCCGCGTGCATTTGGAGATCTGTCTGTTCAATTGCCTGTATGCTATCAAATCTACTCAAGACTGAAGCTTCATTTACTGTCTAACAGCCATGAGATTAAGAGTGTGATCGGAGAGTTTTTGTGTTTTTCTGCGGCGGTTCTTGCAAAACTTAACTCCGACCGCAAGGACAGTTTCCAAGAGCTTGTCGTTCATATTGTCCACTTCATTGCAGTTTTCTAGGCACTGAAAATAGTTTTGTAACTCGAGCTGAAAGGTTTCATGACTTTGGATCAGAGCATGAGGAGGACGGAGCGTTCTCTTCATTAGACACCTCTCCAACTTAACGTTTAGGTTCAGTGTGCCTCTAACCATTCGGTGATCGCTGCCAGTTTTCACCCTCGCGATCACTGGGACATCACTGAACAGTTGTCTGGTCGTCATAATGAAGTCAAACTCATTTATTGTCGAACCGTCGGGGCTCGACCAGGTTCACTTCCTGTGACTCCGCTTCTGGAGGAAAAAGTTCATCATAAAGAGTCCGTCTTTCTCCATAAAGTCTTTTATTCCTATTTTCCCTACCCTCAGCGAGCCGTTCTCTTTTGTGCCTAGTTTTGCTTTGAAGTCTCCCAATTAACACCGTATAGTGAGTTTTGGAAGAATGCATGACTTTGGAGATATCATCATACATTTCCTCCACCTCCTCATTGGGATGTGCTGGAATTGGTGCGTAAACCTGCATGTGAAGGTCAAGGCGAATACCGTTTGATGATTTTGAGTATAATCTTCCTCGCACAACTTCCTTGTAGAATCGATTACCATCAGCGAATTTTCCGGACCGATACGACTTAGGGACCTTCAAGAAAAGAGCCTACTCCTTTTTAAAAGGCCGGCAATGCATCTGCAATTCCCCTGGTTCCCCTGGTGTTGCAGTTGTTCATAGGCGGCGGCAGTCACTTACCATCAGGTGAGCCGCATGCTCGTTTGCTGTATTCGTCTCCTATAAAAAAAAAGGTACGCAACCCTCGTCGACACACACAATATTTAATACGTTGTTAACGAGAGACTTGTAGACGATAAATCCGACACCTCCTTGGGACAGATGTTCGCCCTCCCGGTCATAGAACAAGTTGCCGGATTCGAGGATTACCGTGGCCTCCCCCTCTCTTCAGACCTCAGATATCTGCGTACGTCAGGTGGTGATTGATCGCATGACGTAATCACTCTCTACGTAATTGGAGCGCGGTTGCGTCAGCGAGTAGTATAAATAGCAGTAGTTTCGGCTCGCCGTTCACTTAGCGGCCAGCCTCCGCAGAGTCTACTTCACCTGAGGATGCCTCGTGTAGAGGCGAAACGCGTGTCGTATATTCGAGAGTGGTGTGTCGTGCCTAGTGTGGTGGTGCTGGGGATGGTAGTGTTGAGATTGACGGCGACGAGTATAGTGCGCGCGATTGA